GGGAGGGGGGGGGGGGGGGGGGGGGCGTACGCATGGTTCGCATGGCTTGGGGTGTTAGGCATCCTCGAGAGGAGGAAAAGGAGGGGAAGGGGAAGATTGAACCGAGGGGGGGAAGCGAACTATAGCGAGGACCTTTAGGAGAGAGCGGGATGATCATGCTTTTTTGTCACTAACGGAAACATGGCGCAAGCGCCTCACGACTCAACCGTCTTTGAAGCGACAACGAAGACGAGAAAAAACGGGAAACGCAACCAAGAGTACCGAAGGAACAAACGGCGTAGCGTATGCGGAACAAAAAAATAACAAGATGGGAGCACATTTGAGGACGTATGGATGCAAAATTTGACGCTGTTTTCGCGTTCCTCTCTGTTGTTGCACCCTACCAAACGGCTCCCGTGTCTTCACGACACATCAAAACGACCATGTCAAACATACTTTGTTATTTTCATTGTTTCTGGACGGGGTATTGTATAACTATGCCGCGCGTTATGCATACCACAACATAAATGGCTTGTAGGGCCATTGCTTCTACGCGAACCAAAGAACAGAAGAAAACGGCACATGGCCCACCGCCTGAACGTATGCAGAACCTTTGCACATCCTGTACAAAACAAAAATAATCTCTACACAAAGGCTGCTGTTCCATGCATACAACAAAGGCTGAGTTCTTCCATGCACAGTCTTCGCACGTCCGCGAAACAAGAAAAAAAAAAGACACACGCAACACGCACAAACGCACATGTTTTCACCGGTCAGCCGTTTAGCGAGGTCGATTCTAACAACAACAAAACACACGCAAACGCGAAGAAAAGTGGATTATTTCGCACGAAGACGAGGACGACGCCCCACCTGGCTCCCCTTCTCCCCAGAGACGGAACGCCGAAGACCCTCCACACGGTTGTCGTGGAAGTTGTGCATCAGGATCTGCTCCAGCGTTACCGCCGCCCCGACCCCTCCGCTGTCCTTGCCCTTGCCCCTACGTGGAACTGACGGCGACCTTGCTGTGGCCTGCTGCTCCCCCTGTTGTTGCTGCGTGGCTGGTGAGGATGATGCTGCGGGATCCGCGTTGGAGTTGGTGGAGAGAGGAGGAGCGGCGTTTGCGTCCCGGGTGGGCGACAGGGACTTGGGTCTCTTCCGGTCCTCTTTTTTTTTTTTTTTGCCGTAAAGGGAGTTCCGTGGTGTCATGGCAGGGGGGTGTCGGCGAAGGAGAGCAAGCAACGAGAAGGAGGAGGGTGTCATGTACATGAGATCAGCGAACCTGGGGCTATGGGAGGTACCCCGGGCGGGCATCGAAGGTATACATGCATGCGTGCATTGAAAGAACCCAAGACTTGATTGCATGTTAATAGCTGTCAGAAGGTGGAGATATGTATCTACTGCATTGGGGGTCGGAGCGAATACTGTCCTTCCAAAGGCCAACTTTACAACGACGACGACAAGATCGAAAACAACGCCAACGATGGCAATAGAAACGGCAAAAGCAGCACCACCACCACACAACGAAAGCCAACGACAACAGGAGCAACAACAACAACGGCAAGAACACCCCCCCAACCACCACCACCACCAACAACAACAACAACAACGACCATAACACCAACAAAACTACACACTCTACAGAGCCCCCCCCCTCACCGGTCTCCTTCTCGGCCTCCGGAAGCGCTAGGAACAGCGCCCGCTCCGTCGAAATCCTAGAATCCCCGGCGTCGACGTTACCCCCGTGGAAGAGGGCCTCGCTAAGGGGTAGCGCGGGGCACCGCAGAAGGCAGACCAGGAAGGTGAATAGCTCCGTCACGTCCTCCTGGGTGGAGGCTCCACCCTGCCACCCACTTTTTTTTTGTCGTTGTTCAGAGCAAGATGGCGAAGAGGGGTACAGGTTATGTCCGCGAAAATAATAGCGGTCAGAGAGAGGTCCTTTGCACGGGAGGTTGCTGTCGTTCGGAACAAGACGGTGAAAGGGAGGTACTGGTAGGTTAGGGTAAAAAGAGGTATTCTACTTGTAGGTTTATGACCGTGAAAGCAACTAGCTCCCCCCTGCCGTTCACTGCTGTTTGTTTTCGTTCGTTCATTTGTTGGTCGTTCAGAACAAGATGGTAAAGGAGAGGGTACGACCGCGAAAGCAATACCGGTCAGAAAAGACTACTTTACATGTGTTCTGTGCGTGTGTGGGGGACCCTTTTCTTCAGGACAGTGTATGGGGGACGTCTTGATGAAGTGCTGCGTTTTCGGAGAGTAGAGTACAAGTACATAAATGGCTTTCAACATACCGCTACTAGTTGTGCGCACACCCGTTTAGAAGTTTAGAATGCACAACAAAGACGAAGCGCTGAACCAGCATCAACCACAGCACCACCTCCAACACCAGCGACAGCACGACCAACAAAATAGCAGCGACAGCAGCAGCAGCGGCAGCAGCAGCCACAATAACAACAACAACAACAACAACAACAACAACAACGACGACAGCATGCCATTTTGTCCGCGCTCACCATCTCCTGAGGTGAGTCCGTATGAGGTTAGAGTGTTCCCGCGGAATCGTCGCGCCTTCCCTCAGTTGGTTGACCAAGAACCGAAGGTGCTTCTGCAGCAGCTTCACCTGGCCGTTACAAGTCCAAGGAACGAAATGCAAGCCAAGATGTGTCTCATTTTGAAACCGATTTCATTCGAATGGGGCAACAACTCAAAGGTGTCTCACGAAATTCAACTACTAGGATTGTATGCACAGCTGCAGCTTGGATTTTCCGAATATATATATATATATATTGATCGACGTTAGCTCCTTGCATCTATTATCATGCTACACCGTTGAAGGGTCAGCTGCTGCGTAAAAAGCGTTCTCCGGTTTCAGCCGCCCTGAGACACTGAGACTGACGCCCACTCGTTGGCTCACGCGGTCGGTGGTCGACAAACACACACAATTAAGTACGACATCACTGTATGCTGCTTGGGGAATCGCAGAAACAGGGATAGCAACCCGCTACACGCTATGAATTCACTACCAATGTATCCTGGACCCTTTTCTGTGGATATAGATGGATGTATTGTGTGATGGTAAGAAGAATAAAAAAAAATTAAAGACACACGTGCCTCGGGGGGATCGGTGGACGGCAGCGGCTTGAACAGCAGCCAATCGAACGCGTCCAAGGTGGCGAACATGGCGAACAGCAGGCTGAACAGGCAGGCAACCGTCAACACGACACCAAAGGGACACGAGCAAGCGGAGGAATGGACCATCCATGCGTGTTGGTGGGCACGGGAGTCTCGTAGCAACGGCATTGTGACGGTTGGCTGTGTGCGAGCCTGCGTGTTGCGTGCCTGCCCTGTCTTCGACCAATTAATATATGCTGCGATGGGCTAACGTGAGAAACAATAACGTCGACATCACCAACAAGCTCTCCATCCACCGCAATAGATGGCCTAGCGGTAGCACTGACTATAATAGTGGCGACTGCAAAACCAATATGTTCCGCGTTTGGCGACAACAAGGACGGAGGAAGCTGTCCGGTACCGATACCGCGGCTACTGCGGGACAGACAGTCAAGACACTACCCTACTCGATCAAATACCACGGTAAAAACCGCAGGGGCAACGTCACCTTCATCCAGGGGGGGCAATCTTCTCGACGAGACTACTAATGCCCACAATGACGCCCTCCCCCGAGAGCCCCCCCCCCCACCCACCACCACCACCACCACGTGGACCCCCTCTCCTCTCCATCAGTCCACGATGAACCCCCAAGGCCGCCTCCAATCGCGCATTCACGCCATACGCACGTCATGACAGCCTCCCCCTGCCAATCACATAAACCCTTTCTCCTCCCCTTGACGACGAACGGTCAGGGCCGCCGCCGAATCGCATCACATTCACATGTCGCCATGCATGTACTGCTGTACCCGCACCACCTACCTGTCGATGTAGCAGGTGTTGCCGCCGTTCTGCATCCCTCGAACGGGCGCCCCCGGGTTGACCTTCTCCAGCAGGCCCTTCCCGGCGGCCACCAGGCTCTGGTACAGCGCCGTAGCCGCCTCCGGACCCCAATCCTTGTACCTTGTTTTTCATCGTTACCGCAGCTGTGGTTAATTGCGTGTGGTGAGGAGATACATATGTGGGTAGTTTATGGGTGTCCGTGTGCTTAGAAAATATCCCGGGTCTGGAAAGTCATGCTTCGAGCATGACTTGCCATCGGGGGTTTGGGCAGATTTTGTGTGTCCTTAGGTGAAGTATGTGCTTAGACAATATGCCGGGCCTGGAAATCGCGTTTCGATCGTGAGTTTGCCATCGGGGATGCGGGCTGTGGTCGTGTGTCCTCGACACGTCGTGCTTAGAAAACATACCGGATCTCGAAAAAATACAAGGGCAATGATAGGCATGGTACCCCGTATCCGAGAGCCTTGAGTCTTTCCTAGGAGCAAGCAGACACACAGACGGTACGGGGGGTTTCCCCCACTTGGGGCCCTACCCGCCTCCGGTACTCAACCGGGTACTCAACCCCTGTACCCCATCCATCGATCCGCCAACCCATACTATACCCGACTTGTCGACGAGCTTTCGGGTCTGCAGCCACTCCTTGTATCATAGTATAGGAAGAAACGAGTGCTTGCATGGGAGCAGAACACTTGCCATCACGTAGATAGACGACCGAACTGGGCAACAGATACTTAGTCCTACGTTGCCTTCACAGCCCGACCCAACCCCATCAAGAGCAAGAGCTCCCCCCTTAGGTATTATTCGCTTTCGCCTATCGCTGTCTGCACTACAACACCCGTTCTCTCGCCCACCGCCGTCTGGACTAAAACCGCGCGACCAACAATCGACCGTTCCAGCTCGCTCCCCCGCTTGTTTCCCCTAACCTCGCCCCCAAGCCATGTACCGTACGACACCCCCGCCACGGACCACCCTCATCACAAACCAACGCAACCCATAGCCTACATGTACCTCAGCAGGGTGAGGAGCATCTCGTACGGCAGGTCGACTCCGAAACTCATCAGCTCGGCCACCCGTACATCCCTCTCCTCGTCCGACAACGGGGACGACAGCACCCCGCCTTCGCCGCCCCCGCCACGTTCACCGCCCCCGGCGCTTCCTGTGCCGCCGAGGCCCTGTCTGCCAACCACCTTGGCGACCACCTGCGATGCATTGAATTAAAAAAATATACGAAATCAAGGGGAGGGGGGAGGGGCGTACTCTTATGTTTTGCATGCCTTTTCGGTTAGACCATTGACCACGCGTCTACGACCGGGCGGAGCGTTGTTCCCACGGGACCGATGGCCAATCGCTCCTTCCTACAAGGGGGGGGGGGGGTACTCATGTTTTGGATGCCATAGGTGTTAGACCATTGACCACGCGTCCTCGAGAATACGGAGCACACGGGGGAGGGAGGAGGATACTCGATTACTGCTGTTTGCCATGCATGCATGTAGTCGTTTGACCGTTGAATAACGAGTTCCGCTGGTCACGATATGTATATTTTTTTTTCTTCCGTGAGGGGCACCAATTCTAGTGCAGTACCCGTGCACGCGGCGAACAAGTTTGTTCGTCGTCATGTGGTGGATCAAACGAGGAAACGCGGTGGCAACAAAAAGGTTGGTTTTGGGCGTTCATTGTTGTATACAGGATGACTCTGCTTGTTGTTCTACTTGGAAAGAAGCGCCGTCAAATGTAGGAACGTCGTTGCAAGGCGACCCAGTAGCACCCCAGTGCGGGCGAGCCTTGTGCTACGGGGCCCGACCAGACCAACAAAATCTCACGGACGATTTCCCCCTGCAGAAAGCGTTCTCCATGGGACCACACACGACAGCATCAAGGCGTGTGCGTATCTTGGACGCACCCCATCCCTCCAACTAACCTCATGTAGGAAACCGTTTAAGAACTCCCACTGGATCAACCTCTCCTCTCGCTCCTCGTCTTCCTCCCCCTTCACCTCCGCCTCGCCAACACCCCCCCCTCCATCGCCGGAGCCCCCCCCGTCTACGTCCTCGTCCTGGCACGTCATCGTTTCGTCCTCACCATCGGCATCGCAGTCAACTTCGCCCCCTCCGCCCCCGTCCGCACCGCCACCTCTCAGCTTGGCAACGGGAGCATAGGGTGACGTCGGGACAGCTGTGCTGGGCGGGGAAACTAGAGCGGTCGGCGACCGGGCCTTCGGCGACGGAACCGCCGGTAGTGGCGGGTCCGGAATAACCCCCGGCTCGCCGCCACTACCCCCTCCGCCGCGATTCTCGTCGCCCAAGCCGGTCGTTGCGACAGCCTCGGCAACCGCGGCAGGGTCAGCACCCCCGTGTGCCACGCCACCGTCGGCCCCCTGCCGCTGCTGCCGCCCAGCCCCCGGTGATGATCGGGGCTCCGTGTCATCATCCCCGCGAACGTGGGTGGTGTCTTCTGCCGTGCGGGTCCCCCTCCCGTCGTCGTCGTCGCTGTCATCGTCCGTCTCCGAGTCAGAACCAGACTCCGAGTCCGTGGGGTCTTCCGTGCCCGACCACCGGTCTTGCCCCTCCCCCCCTCCCGACTCCATTTCCACGGTGCGAACCCCCTCCCACGCGCGGGACCCCACCGACCGTTGCTCTTGTTGCCGGAAACGCGGCGGCTGGTGTTGCCGCGGGCTGCTGCTGTCGACGTGGTCGGACAACGGCTGTCCCGAGGCACCTGCCGTCCCCGCCGCTGCCGGCGACGAAAGCGGGAGGGACGCTTTTCGCCGGCCGTCGTTCTCGCTCCCTCCGCCACCGCTACCACTGCTGCAGCCCGTAGCGACTTCCGCCGCTGCTGCCGGAACATCGCTCCCCTCCTCCGCTCTTCCCTCCGCGGAAGCTACCCCCATTGCAAGGGTCTTCGTAGCCGCAGCCTTAGATGACCGTAATCCCGGGGTAGTACCGCAAGGGCCGTCATCCCCGGCGACGGCGGCGTCATCGTCCTCGCCGCCTCTGGGGGCAACATCCGCCACCATCTTTTCCCGTCGGGCGTGAGCAGCGGCGTGGAAGGCGGGCGATGGTGGTATCGGCAGAACGGTCTCCGTGTGCATGACCTGTTGAAAATCCAGACGGGGTCATCCCGGCGGGGGAAGAGAGAGGGCCAGGCGTGTGTCCAGTTGTGATTGCCGAGCGGGGGGGGAGGGGGGGGGGGTGTCGGGTTGTTGCAACGAAAACAGCCACGCGCCGCCCTTGTACGCTATACGAGAGAGGAGCACTACAGTACGTATGTCCAACCCATCGACCTTGAAGACCGGAACCCCCCAACATCAAAGAAAATAGGACGTAGGGTGGTATCCCCTCCCCTCCCCTCCCCTCCCCTCCCCTCCCCTCCCCTCCAGGCTTGGTCCTTAATCCAGTTCGGGGCTGTGGGGTTGTGGATCTTCTCTAGTGTACCCCTTGTGGTGTGCTACTGCTGTACGGTAGGCTGCTAGACTCACCCGCACGTAGTCGCCGTTTTGGTCCTGCGCCAGCCGGTTGTTCTCCAGCAGGCCCAAGAAACTCGCCACTTTGTTGGGCAGCGGCCGCAGGTACACCTGGCAAAAAACGAAAACACAACAAGCAGAGGAGGTTAGCAAGCAGCAACTGTTCTTAAACCGATTCTAGTCAAAGGGTACGCCGCCGTGCAGGCATGGAAGCATAAAGAAGACATGGGGGAAAACGGGAAGTTGCCATACTCGCAAACACATACAGCAGTGGATTTCAGGGGGTGGGGGGTGATTTTCGGCGTCGCCTACGGTCTGCCTACCGCCTTTCATGCGTGTGCCCCGCGAGTTGGGAATCTCAACCTCCAAAAACAGCAGAACAACCGGCCGGCCCTTTTCAGAGAGAGGGCAACCGCAGATTGTACCATGCCGGGTTATGCACTACCGAGTACCCGTGAAAAAAGCGCGAGATCTCCACTCCCTCACGACTGACTCACCAGCGCTTCGAGGAACGAGTGCAGCGCCTTCCGCCTCTCCTGCTTGAGGGAGAAAGACCTCCCGAGGGGAATCCTGCTCGGAAACTTGCACACGAACAGGATCGTCTCGATGCTCTCGATCAGCTCCGCTGAGCCCGGCGGCCTAGAACACGCGCTGCTACCGCCACCGCTGCTGCCGCCCCCGTCTCCTCCGGCTGCTGCAGCCGAAACGCCCCCTCCAACCCCTAAGGATGCCGTCCCCCGCTCCGGAGGTTTATTCGCGGGGTGGGGCTTTCCGCCGCGAGATGACGGTGCTGGCTTCTTTTGCCGGTAGTGTTGGCATGCTGTCTTGAGGTGCTGCCGGAGCGCTACGAATTCTCGGTAACGCCTGTGCACTACCCACACCTGGGGGGGGCGCCGTGGCGGACATGGGGGGGGGGGGGGTAGACAGGGACGAAATGACTCGGTACAGCTGTAGCTGGGGGCACCCAAAAAAATGTGCCGGTTGAGTATAGTATAGTGCTTGGGGGGGGTGCCGGTGATTCTGGCTATGCATGGCACATGGCGGCGCAACTGAGGGCCTCAAACGGCTGCCGAACTCCGAGTCGGGTGCATGCATGTGTCTCTGCCAAACAATGATTCGATGAGGGCGCACAGCCTGCTGCTATGGAGAGGAGGATGCCGTGCGTTTCTTCACGAATCCACGGGCTGATCAGCAGACAGCGCTCTCGGAAGGAGTGATGCTGTAGATAGCTTCCGTCGCGTGTACAAGTGTGCACGCGCCTGTACAGGAATGGGGAAATGTGTCAACCACGACCTGGGGGTGAGGTGTGGTACCACCGCAAAACGCGCGCGGCGCGATCATCACCCGCAACGAGACGCGCGAAAGTGCCTCTTGAGCGTCAATCTTGAGGTCTTGAGGGCGGGTGCCGCCGGTGTTGGACCGGGGCTGGGAGAGGTTCCAGGTCTACAGATGTCCCCTGACTCCTACATGTAGTGTCCGTGTGTATAAGGAAAAATAAAAACAAACACAGAAAGACTAGTCTACCCGTTCGAGAGAACCACAGTCGAAGGGGATGTGTCGGAGTCTTTGCAGTGAGTGGAGGGAAACCTGGGCTTACACTGATGATTCATACCAGTGATACCAGCTGGTGCTAAGCACAAAATAATCTGTTCACGCAACCTACATTTACAATACGTCCCCTGTAGTTCTCTACTGGGTCAACGGCAAAAATATCGGAGAGAAGCGTGTATGTATACAGCAGGCAGGCGTGCGGACCATTCTACAGCTGCTGCAAACAGCAGTGGCACTTCGAGTCAAGCACCGCACCTTGCTGTCCAACTCCACCGCTGTTGTATAGGCGTAAATTGGTGCTACATTCAATAGAACGAAGTGCTTTTCGCCCTAATGCTGTATAAAAGTGCTATGCTACCAACGTTGCGCTCTAGACTACAAGTACAAGCTGCACTGCTGTTGTGCGCCCCAGACGCTACTCCTGTACACGCTGTACACTACACACAACTACGCACTTGACAATAATAATAATTCTTTACCTGTCTCGTGTGTGGCAGTTCAACTCTGCACTCATACAGAGTGTGCCCCGCGGCGGGGTGCTTCAGGAAGCTCGAAACCTTGACCGTCACCACCGGCATCCCTCCCTCGGTTGTTGTGGAAGGCATCCTCTATGTAGGTCCGAGGTGATGCGAACAACGGAGAGAGAGGGACGAAGAAGAACAGCGGAGAATAATGTCGTACTTTCCTTCCGTCCGCAAAGAAGCGGCTCTCCTGGTTTTGGAAATAACGGCGGTTGGGCTGCGGTGATACCTGCGTCGCACGGCCTTGTGTGTCTTGCAGTGTTGGTAGATAGCGTGCACAAGAATGGCGGCTACACACGTTGTACACGTGCAACCCGCCCCGAAAATCGGTGCACGAGACTGTCAAGTAGCCTTGCCCCAACATTTTTCAAGTTGGCGTTCTTGTATGTCAAAGATGTCACCTCATGTCGTTGATCAACACTTCAGCAGCAGTACCGGCTATAGCTACAGTGGACAGGAGGGAGACCAATGAGGCTCGTTGCGCTACTCGTCGCTCTGCACATCAGCGGCTCAGGCGTCTCGTCGTTCGGGCTGACCCCCGCGATGAGGACGACATCGCCACGACAATCGTCGTCGCTGCACCTCTTCTACCTATCTTCTTCGGCGCCCACAAGAACCGCCGATGTTGTTGCTGTTGCGCGTGGCCGCCGCCGCAGCAGGTTGGTGGGGGGAGAACGCCGGCAACGGCGGTGTGGGGCCCAAGCTGGTAGCTCGGGCGGCGAGGGAATCGGAGTGAGTCTTGTTGCTGAGCAGGGGGGACGACGTCGCTTCAGGCAGCGGGAAAAGGCCCTGGTTGGCTGCGTTGAACGTTTGACACAGCAGGGTTCGGTGTGTGCCTCTTGCCTCCCTCCGTCGTCGTCGATGTTCCCCGAGAAGAGCGAAAGCTCGCAGAGGCATGCCGTGGGCCGCTGCTAGTGATTATCAGTAGGGGGTGCTAACTAGCGAAGTTGCTGTGAGGTTACGCGAGTGTGTACTGGTGCGGTCACGGCCCTGTCCCTCGGTTAAATTCTGTGCGCTGATTTTCACGCTGTTGTTGCAGAGCGCATGGAAGACAGCTGTAGTCTAAACTGTACACAGCAGCGACCACCCGGAGGGGACGTAGCCAGCACAACACCCAGAGCGGATGGGCTACGTGTTGCACCTCGGGTGTAAGGACGGAGGTTTGAGCACACCAAAAGAGGAGATAGATGCCGCAGCAGCAGTTGTGCTGATGAACCCAGCGGGAACAAATCATGGCAAAACATATTATTAGTCTAGACTAAGCCCGCCAAGATTGTCGAGACAAGACATGATAATGATGGGCGGCACGCGTCACATGTAGCAACGGCGGTGATTTGCCGTACGCTTCCCGCGGCACTTGTAGCAACCACAATCCGGTGATTGATTCGTGCGACGCCATGGGGACATCACCATGAGCTACTTAGAACGCTTTCTTTTCCGGGGACACTCCTTCCGTTGTGCTGCGAACATCCCGCCGCGCGCAGGCAGGACTTCGGCCACCTCAGGTCTGATGAGATTCCATACCGCCCCGGGACCGATTTTCAGAGCCCCATTATTCCATTGGATGCCACAATCGAACAGCTGCCTCAGGTGTCACAAGATATCATAGCCCCTGGACCGATTTTCAGAGACCCATTATTCCACGGCGAAGAGGATGCCACAAACAAATGATAACGATTTCGGGATGCACTCGACGGGATGGTGGTTCAAAAGCCACCGCCACATGCTGTTTTTTGCCTCTGAGTAATCGAGCCTTGAAATCGGTCGAGGGGGGGTGGCATATATTACCTTATGCTACCTACCGTCAACGTACCCGGTAACAAACGAGCATCATGAGCAAACGTTGTGAAGGCCATGGTGTTCTCTCATTCACTCCCCCGACATACAACGAGACCACGGACAACAACACCAACACCACCTCCACCAACAAACAACGAAAACACTCCGATTTTCTTGAAATACACCCAGGCGGACAACTCGGACGCACAGCCGAAGGCTGATGGCGGCAGCAGTAGCAGCGGCGATGGCGACGGGAAGCCGACTAGCCTGGTGGCAAGGCTGGGCACGGCAGGTGGAGTTAGGGAGGGCTCGTCCTTCAATACGTACTTGTCTGAAGCTGGTTTCACTTGATACGTGCGCGTGGACGCGGTTTTTCTCCGATGTGGCACCATTCGACTGATGCAGAGATGGCCTTTGCAGTCCCCTGTGGGGGTGAAACCTGGCGTATCGTGTGCGTGGTTTCAGCACAGCACTCACTCCTGACCAACCAAATATCGATATATCCACAGTAGGAAGAACGTCAACGATTAGGACGGCGTTGAAAGAAAGCCATTTCGTTTTTCGAGCGAGCGAGCGAGCGAACAAGAGAGACTTCTGTGAGGATGCGTTACCTACCGTTCGGTGTTGGTGCCTTGGTTGCTTTGTTCTACAGCAATCGACCAGTCCGAGGGGCAGAGTCGGCACAACGTCGAGGACATGGCAAACCCTCTCAAGCATGACAACCGCCTGGTATTTAGGCAGAGGGTGGTGTGCATGTCGCGTGTTGCGTGGGGTTTTGTTGCTCATCTGCGTGTCCTGGACGTCAGTTTTGTACACCTTTGGATGTGTTTGGACGCACCAGCCGGGTCAGCAAGCAGGAAGGCCACGCAAGAGGTTCCTACAGATTTCAGCGTCTTGGGGGTGGCTAGCGTTGTCTTTACTGGTGTATACTGACTGTCGAAACGGATACATCTACGTTGTCTGGACCACGCATCTTCGGGCTTCAAGCAAGCACAAGCCCCGCCTCTTCGTCGTTCCTCTCTAAAAGAACCTTCTCTCTCGTCCGATACACCATACTTGCACAATAACCCGACGAACGGCCTCAGGGTTGGTATCGTATGGCATGCTGAACGGGCTGTGGTACTCCGGCGGCATCGCCTTCGTCATGCTTGGGCCCATGGGAGCGGTCCCGGCAGGGAGTGGGATCGAGGGAACGATCGCCGCGTCGGTGAAGCAACTCGGAAAGGTGCGTGAAACCGTGTCTACATGCAGTGTAGGTGTGCGTTCTTGGTTGTTAACTCTGTGTGCATTCATTGGTTGGCAACTGCACTTTGGCATTACGGATACCGCTGGAGTAAAAAAGAACTCGGTTTTAGACAAGAAAGCCTCCGTTGATTTTTTTTGCTCTGTTGCAAGGTGTGCCGGCCCGTTGCATCCGGACGCGGTATTTCCCCTAATAGCGGCCTGGTGAATCGAGTACCGCAGCATTTGCGCGCGGAGACCTGGAACACACTGACTGAAAACGGCCTCGCGAAGGCGAAAGCGACGTTCCTCTTGCACTGCTTGGTCGTCGCCTGTCCGCTGAACCATGCTACCGTGCCTCGGACTGTGTCCGGTGCTGTGTTAGTTTCGCAAGCCACGAGTTTTGAAGCATGGAGGAAGTATCGTGGATCGTTGTCTGCATGATTGCCTGTGACTCGAAAACCTATGCATCTTAGCGGCGAACCTCGTGAGCAGGTACCACAATCTTCGCTACCCCTCGTGCCGCCAAAGCAGCCGACGGACCCTTTCGCGTCCACCCCAAACCGTAGCCACCACGTGCTCCGCGGTGCTTCCGTCCGCGTGTCAGGTGATCGGCCTGGTCTGGCTCGGCAGCCAGGCGACGAAGCCCGTGCGCCTCGCCCTCGCGGTCCTCACGGCGCCCGCGGCGGACAGGCTGATCGCGTCCACGCAGCGGCGGCTCGGCCTGAAGAAGAAGAACGCCGTCTCCCTCCTCGTCGCCGTGATCTTCGGGTCGACGGCCGCCTTCTGCCTCGCCGTCTTAGCCTACGGGGTCGCCCGAGCCGCCATGGTGTCGACGGTAGCATCCGCGGGGTCCCCGTCCTCCTCGGCGGCATTTTTGATCCGACGGAGGATGATGGAAGGTCAGCAGTAGGGTTCAGTGTCGCCAGCGGTACAAATAGCGGGAACGCTGGCGGAAGCGGTGATGCGCCGCCGTTATCTTGAAGGATGATGGAAGGTCAGCGTTAGGATTCGATGTCGCCAGCGGTTTAGGGGGAACGCTGGCAGCAGCGGCGGCGGCGGCGGCGGCGGCGGCGGCGGCGGCGGTGATGGGGGAAGGTCGGCAACAGGATTCGATGTTGCCAGCGGTAGAGGCATCGGCGGCGGCGTGATGCTCCGCCGCCATCTTGGAGGAGGCGGTTTCGCGGGCCTCAATGAAACAGGGTAGTTTTAGCAGCCCTCTTTTCTCCGCGAAAACGAAGGCGGTGCTTTGTTTGTCCGTCGCGATGGTGGACAGGCAGGCAGGCTGGCTGCGCTTGTCTGCGGAGAGCGCCACCGGTTTTTCTCGCAGCCGCAACAGCCGGTATCGCCGTCTGGCAGCAGCAGCGGCTTTTGTGGAACGCGCGGAGGGAGTTGTCGGTGAACGTTGAATCAAGTGGGTATTGTTGTGATGGCGATACTGACGTGTGGGGAGCTGTTTTTGTAGAGAGGGAGTTCGTAATGATGCAGCTGCGAATGTATGTATGTACAACGTACGCATGCCCGATAATACCGCTAATAGTCGATGTCAGCCAACAAGACAGAGTTTGAATGTTTTCACGTAGATTTGCTTGTTGTTTGTTAGTGTATGGTGTAGTTTGTCTTTGTCATCTTTTAGAATTCTCTCTGGCGTTTAGGGCGTCGACCGCGATCGGTTGCTCTTGGGGATTTGCATGCACTTGGGGCAGGCGGCAAAACCAGTGCGACGACGAGACCGGCATATTCAACCTGTTCTTTGAGGGTGTTTCGAGGGTTTCAAGTGGAGGGCGTTCTTTGTGTGTCTGTTGATCCAGTCCTCGTCGGATATCGCCCCGTTCCGTTGCCTAAACACCGGCCGCCCTTGAGATTCCAGGTGTGGGCGTGGGAGAACCCGGTATCTATTTAGTGCATGCGTGGTATTGGCGCCCCAGCTGCCGTTTTTGATGTCAATGGGATATGAGGTGGTATATAAGAGTTGGTCCCTTCTTGTCTCCTTTTCTACCGCTATAATTAGTGTCCGGTGGTTCGCCTGTGATGGTAGAGTGACTGATCTGTTGATGTACATCTAGGTTAGTTTATGTGCCGCCTTGGGTACTGTGCCAGCCGGCTAACGTGTCCCGTATTAGTCAAGCCACAACAGGATAATAGAGAGTCTCGGGAAGAGTTCACGGGTCAACGTCGGGCAACAAATGAATTAGTCCGATATCTACCAATGTCTACATAGATGTTGCGGCTAGCGTACATCCTCCTTGTAAAGGAAAGACCCTTTAGGAAAACGTCGTGTTCGTACCCGCCGTGTGGACGTCTGTGGGGAGAATAAACAGTGTTCGGCACACGACGACCCAATCGTTTAGAGTTGCCCCCACGACAAAGACATCAAGTGCAGCTGCTTGCCGAAGGCTGGTGACCTCAAGCAAGCACAGCAACCGGTCAAAGGCGCTACCTCTTCATACCCAACTGCTGTGCTTGCACGCGCAGACGGGTCCCGTGTTGCCTGTTGCGCGAAGGGACTCAAGGTGCCGGTCCGATCTCATTTGTTTGAGGGAGTTGACTCCTTTCGTGGGATGGAATCGTTCCCATTTTTGTTAAATCGTACCTCATCCTATTGTTCCCACCCAGCTACACCCTAACCCGAGGTTATATTCGGACCATCTCGTATCTTATCTGCATAACATTGCGCGCCTTCCATACGTCGGTCCAAATAAAACAAGAAGCACAAACATGTGGTCCCCGCCCCCCCCCCCTCCCCTCCCCCCGAACTCCCTTTATTTCCCCATCCCCCCCCCCCACTCATCCAACAAAATACACTACACAGCAACAGATCGCACACCACCTTCCGCGCCTGCTGTATGTACAATACTCATTCTCGCCAGTCCTCCGGTACGACAACAGCTGGGCGGAGTTAGCCCGGGCTTGTATCGCCATCGTGCATCCCCGCTCGTGGTGCGAAGGAGCGCAACATTCTCTGAAGAAGTATCTTGTGGGTACTGGAGTTCGGGTGCAGTGTGGCGCCGCATTATAGTGCGAGTTCTTTTAGCTGGTCGACAGTTAAACGTCGCCAAGCATCCCTGCTGATCCGATTGAGCTCCGATTGGCGCCGTCTCTGCTCGGCGGTGTAGACCTTGGCCGACCTGGGCGTCTTTCCTTGTTTCGTGGTCGATCCCGGACCGCCAACGCCCGCCTTCGACTTGTCTCTTCGCGACTTCTCTTCCTTGCGGTCTTTCAAGAGCTTCTCCAAGCCCGCCAGTTCACTCGTTTCAGCGAGTATGCGGTATTTGTGCCACTTCTGCAGCACCACAAAGTCGAACAGCTCGTCGCTTCGCTTCGTGCACCCCTTCCCCCCAGCGGGGCCGAGGCGAGGGTCCTCCACCAGACCTACACACCTTGCCCATGCCGCCTTCACCGGCCCAGCCGTGGACATCACGCTCCGTACGTCCGACGGCAAATCCCCTAGGTACGTCGCCACCAGGGCGGGGTTGACCATCGCAGACCTATACCCTACCTCAAGCGCCCTCGCGAAAAGAAAGAATTCAGCGTATGGGAAAACGAGACCCTTGCCTTCCCACGGGAAGTTCTCCTCCTCGGCCACAAACTCCAATCCACTGAAATGCGGATAAGCCTCCCGGAAGTCCGCAGCGGATCCGACCTTGTGGCTGTTGATAAAGGGCAAGAGCGCCCGAGCATAAAAAACATGTCTGCCCACGTGCGAGATAGCGATGCTCAGAAGCCAACCCCCTATGTAGTACACAAGACGCCGTTGATCAACGTCCCGGTCAACGTGGGCAGGATACGCCACTTCGATGAGATGGGCCTCGCCCAATTGTCGTATGAGGGCCTTGTCAACGACCTGTTCGGAATACGGGGGGGGGTGTATGTGGCGGGTTGATGATAACACTACTGCGTCACACTATCGACGCGACAACGACAAAGATACACAGAACAGACAGTCACATCCGCAAGATGCCCGCGCCCATGTTCCACTCTGGAACCCAGATGCCAACCATTCGAGGCAGACTCACATCGTCGATGGCCAGGAATACGGAAGTGAGACAGTGAGCGACACGCCGTGCCTCCACTCCCAGCTCTTCAGCCTTGGCGACGATGGTCGGCTCGCTTCTGAACTCGTGTTGCTTCTCAAAGCGCTTGTTCCTCCACGTTTTCTCGTACTCCAGTGCGCGAGCCGACGGCGGCAAGTGTTGGGGGTATTTTCCAGCAGAGTCGCAACGAGAACCCCCCACCACTCCAGAATCGCGTCCTTCACTTCCTGCACCAAGAGCAATCCTCGGATGACACCTTTGTAGTGCTCCTTTCGCGCTAGCGAATGTTCTTGGAGATTCTTTCCAATGGAGTCAACCATCGCTTGACCTACCGGGAGCCTTCGGATGATGAGATCAGCCACGGCTGCAAAGGTCTGTCGTCTAAGCCCCCTTCGTCTTCGTCGTCTTGATCAATACCCCTGATGTCCGAGTCCAATACCCAGGCTTGGCCGGGGGCGGGGTGCGGGGGGGCGACACGCGCGTTGAAGTAGTCAGTGAGCACATGGATTATGTTTCCAAAACTCGGAGATGGTGTGCGTGACCCGCGTGCGTGCCAACCGCACAGCCCGCCACCCTGATTCGGCGGTACCGGCGGAGGGTGGTTGCTTGTAAAACTCGCGAGCTGGGGGGGCGCAGGGTTTTCACGGCGCAAAAACTCCCAGAGGTCCGTTAAAGTAACGGTGACGGCAGTAAACCTGTACAAATCCGTGGGCCTCACTAGGTTCCACATCGGGGAAGAACAGTTTCGAGCATGCTCAGGCCTCAGCCAATAAAAAGCAGCGCACGCTTAAGCGAGCTAGTGTTTGCCTTACCTCTACCCATGCTTCCGTCGAAATTGCCACATTCCTCGGGACTGCCTTGGCCTTTCTCCTCTTGTTCCCCTCCAGTGACTGCTTCCTGTGCGAAGGCATCAATAGAGGGAACATTAACATTAGAATCAAGCGCTGCCACTATGACGCTACTTTACGCTGACGTTAAACACGAACACATCGCGCGCTACCAAAGTTTTCTAATGCTACCCCTACCCTGTAAAATTGGCTTACCTCTTCCCAAGAAACATCACGAAGGCGATGCATGGGCGCAACAGGGTTATCGTCATATTCGCCAGAATCACCCCAGCGTGCCCCCCCCCGCCGCTCCGCGCAAGTCGTCCATCACTCCCGAGCGGGGTTATCCACCTGCTACAGGTTATATTTGTTTTTGGGTACGTCGGTGACGGGAGAGGTATGTATATGGCCCCGACCTTCCCGTGAGCCCGAAAACACAAAGGATATGAACATACTCTCGGGCGCACTGATAAAAAATGTACAGCAGACGTAGAACTTAGCACCAAGATTGGGCATATAAGGTCGCGTCTGTCGATGGCAGGTGGTTCTGAAAGTCGTGATCTCGCCGTCAAAGTTGAAATCCGGACAAAATTGCACATTCCCAAAACCGGCGGGCTAAACATGACAAAATAACCAAGTGACGGATCTCTCACTGCACCATTTTTCTTTGGAGTCCACTGCCCACCTGCTCTCCTCCCCCCCACCGGACTCTGCGTTGCGCCGGGTTTTTTTGGACGGGAATATCATGCTTGACACAAGATACCACACCCCCTGGACCAAAGCCAAATGCCATCAGTGCGGGCAAACAAAAATTGAACAAATCCAACAAGTTTTTTCAGCAGTCCGCAGCGACATGATCGTCGTTTGCCGGGAAACTTTGTGGGATCAGAGCAAACGTAGTTGACTACTGACTAGTAGGATCCGTTGCGTACCGTGCGTTTTACTTGCCGAGAGCGGCGGCGAAGGGCCCAAGCACCTCGCTGCTGCAGACGCACAGGCGGCAAACTGTTTTTCAGTTTTTCTCTGCGCACCCGCTACGGATGGAGCCCGTTCGTCCTCCTGCCCAACGTCGCCAGGTGTATGTAGCCACATCCTCACACCTTAACGAGGAGCAACACTCTCCTCATGGGCTCCACCGCTCGTTTTCTGGGGCGGCGTGGGGCGTGGGGCCCTGCGAGTGGGTTTAGCATGTTTCCACGAAGCGTTTTTTTGGACGAATCAGGCGCGCATGGTGGTACAGGTGATTTGAAATATTTGAAATTTGAAATTTGAACAATTTGGGAGTGTCTTTTTGTGGCCAATAAACAAGCAGGAGGCGCTGCTTCAACCCAGCAATGCAGACCGAGGGACCTACGGATAGACATGGTAGAGGGGCGTTCGGCATCTTGCCTTCGACACTCTCTTTGCCAGCAGGCTTGAAGCACCTACCCTCTACTTGATGTGTTGCCAAAAAAAAGAATAAAGGGAGACAACCTTTTCACCTTCGCCGACTTCAGGCTATATATTCCCCCCGCCCTGCCGTATCATAGTACCGGCCCACCAGTTCTTGACGGCCGAAAAAACTGTTTTCACCACCATTCAGAGATTATCCAGACCATCTCCCGCTGTACACGTGTTGCACGGAGCACACAATGCCTTCCCCAATCTGCTGTGAAGAATCGCATGAGTCTTGTCGGCCGAACCGACTTGTAGCGTTTCGCAACAACGTACGTCGCATAAATACACCGTTTCAGCTCACTTTGCTTCGTTCTCCAGAGGACCAATTTGCAACATGTGTGCGTCTTTATTATTAGCATCGACCGCGCTAACCGGCTGGCCAATGAAAAGGCGTCAGTCTTAGTGCGGTTGAAAACACAAAACACTTCTATCTGCCATGAACTGGGACCCCGTGAGGGGGCAGCATGGGGGAGGCTAAACTATCCTTCGGATCAAACGGTGGCAACAGAAGAAAACTGCACGCGTCTACAAAGGCTATTACCTTGTACTCGAGTTCGTTTAGGAGTACTTTCACCATTATCCCCTTTGTTGTCGCTACCTCTTTCTGGTCCTCATTTTGACAACAATCTCTTGCCAGTTCTTCCCTACCCCTGCGTTTTTTGTTTTGGGGAAGGTCATCTGGCTCAAACCCTTTGCTCTCTTCCACTCCTCCATGTATGTGTGCGTTCGTCCTTTCTTATTATGGCGACACCATCTCTCGGTGATACTACATGCATGTTTGACGTACCATCCGGGGCCACACGAGAGGAAATGAATTGTCCACGTTTCGTTCTGCGTTGCTTGCCTTCAATTTTGATCTCGAGCAGGGTTCAACACTCCGGTCCTTCTTCGATGCACAAGCGGGACGTCGTATCGTGGGAACCCCAAACACGGCGTCATGGTTGTATCCATTCCTCCACAACAACACGTAGGCCAGACAGCAAGCTCCATGGCTTGCTCCGAGAAACTTGAAGAGGAAAACTGCGGGTACTTAATCTTTTTCTACATCTATCTACAATCATTCCTCTTCAAAAATGTACTGTACACACCCACTGAGGCTGCTAGGTCGGGGGGAAAGGGGGGGGGTCTGGCCAATGCCAACACAAGTAAACTGGCACCCCAACTAAGTGATACTCAGAAACAAGAAAAGCCGTTCGAAAAGTTTACCAGACAGGCACTGCAAGACCAAGAGCAAAGGCGGGGAAGCGGGGGCTTTTTCACTTCGTGCTTGCCTCAAAACGTCTGCTGGACACTAATCACGCCCCCATACGATATGCATACGGGGCATCGTTTCTACTTTTGATGATCTCCTAGAGGGGGGGGGGGGGGGTTCTACGGTGCAGGCATTTTCTTCCTACACCCGGAACACTTCAGGCTATCGGCAGGTGAGACACAAACGACCGGACGTTGTACGCGAACCGCACACACCTATTCTTTGCGCCCCATCCCCCACCACCGAGTCGTGTGTGCGGTTCCAAATTCAAATGTTGAACGCGAAAAGCCCTCCTCCCTTCCGAGGACAAAAAAAAAAAACTGTCTACCCCTTCGCCCGCCCCCGGCGTTGCTGAAAAAATGGCAGGGTACGGATTCGCCTGCACACCAATTTGCAGGGAAACATTGTCACCCGTGTATGCCGGGAAAGTACCGCCGTTCTCTTTATACGTGTGATCGTTCATTCCATATCTAGGATCACTTCCGCTATTGTCGCTAAATCTCAGAGCACCCCCCCCCCTGTTAACCGTCGCCGTGCGCGCCAACGGTCACGCGCGCAAATCCCCCAAGCGAAATCACCGCCTCGGTATGTATCGCTCCTTTCCCCCTTTCTCTATGGCGTACTCCTATTGTACGATATGCGAGTCTCACTCGTATTATGTGGGACGAGCTACGCATGACCGTTTCGCGAAGGAGCAGGAGGAGCCCTCGGCTGCGACCAGGCGGAGGAGCACACGCGAGAACAGCGACTCAATCGACGTTGTTCTACTCGACACGAGTGACTACCAAGTTACGGTGAACCAATCGACATTTGTTCTTCTTCTTCACACCAGAGACTACTGAGGCACGGTTTATCAATCGACAGCGCTCTTTGAATACGAGAGACCCCCCAAAGATACGGCGAACCAATCGACATTGTTCTTTTTCACACGAGAGGCTACCGAGCTACGGCGAATCAATCGACACTAATTACTACCGTTGTTTTCCCGTGTGTTGTCTCGCGTGGGACCGAAGTTCATCGAAACGGCGTTCTTCAGGAGGTCTTTTCGGGTCCCTTGGAGCAGCACTTTCCACTGATGCAGTCCGACGCCGCTCGCAGCACCACGTACAGCAGCATCCCCATCGGTCCGGCCATCATGTTGAGGAAGAGGCAGGGGGCCATGGCGAGCTTGGGCAGGCCGTTCGGGTCTCTGTTTTCGAAAGAAACGGTCATGACACGGGAAGGAAACAATCCGCGTCAGGTCCAAATAAAAAAACGAGTGAAAACATTCCCACGCACCAAACACTAAAATACGAAACAAGCCACCAGAAAAGCGCAGAGGGGGGGTCGGGGTGGTTGTCGTGACAGAGCAGATGGAGTTGGTCTAGATGAAACACTAAAATTGATCCAGATGCTGTCGGGGGCACCCATCAGCATAGCTCAACACACACACACGCCCCGCCTACCGTATTATTTCTGCAACAACAAACTTGGCAACAACAAACTTGTCACTCTCCCGCGCAAAAGGAGAAACACTCTGTCGACCGCAAGTGCTTTTATCAGCACCGACAGAGGGAGGCACTGGATAGAAAGGTCGGAACCGTTACTGGTGTCAAGACAACAACAACAACCACCACCACCACAACAACAACAGCAGCAACAACGCTACATGCCAGAGGCCGCGGAAAGGACACCAGAGATCACACAACGCCAACAGGAGCCCCACTCACTCCATGTTCTTCTGGACGAGGTAATGCCCCGCAACCAGGTCGAACGCCAGGTAGTGCACCCAGGCGGGCAATAGGATGCCGTCTCCCCTGAAGAGCTTGGCGATGCCGTCGAGCGTGCCCATGTCCATGTACATCGCCAGCACCCCCTCCTTGCTGTTGCGCATTTGCGACGCTAATGCAGCGATCCCATGCGTGTTGGAGGGAGGAGTGGGAGATGAGGTTACGGAGACGCCCCGTCGAATCAGGTGTTGTATGGTTCGTCATCCACAGAGAACACAGGCGCAAGGTTTTGACAAGCAGGAACTCAAGGGAAAAGGGGGTACTGTGATTGTCGAGCCACGTCGGTAGTTGTCCAGATGGGATAGCAGAGAACGGTCGACTTGTTGCATACTACCGGCGTGTTCGTAGGCAGGGAACGTTCGCGGAAGGTTTGGAAAGAGCAGGAAGTTTTGTTGAGGCACACGAGATTTGGACCAACGAGGAGGCCAGACAGGAGTAGCAATGCCACCCAGCGCCGCCATCGCAGCACTCTCTCTCTCTCCCTGTCGACCGACCCATGTCTCTTAGGCGACAGTTTGCTTCGGTTCTTTCGGATCTTGCTCCGTCGTTGTTTTTTTCCATAAAACATGCTCCTGTTTTCATCTATCGGCACCCCCTTTGAATGCGTCTGCTATGGGCTAATACTCCTTTCATCTCCCTACTGTATCCCCGTTGGAATGCGTCTGCCCTTGGGCTAAGAAGCGGCGGGTTATGCGCCGTTTCGTGCTTGAGGTACACACCGTGCGGTAACGGTTAGGCCAGTACTCCGTATAGGCTATTGCCTTGTATTCTTGTCGTCTTTCTTGGTCAATATATTGAAAATGTACCTAGAAGAAATGTCAGTGCATCTGTAAATCACGAAAAAAATCGCCTACGGAGTGCAGGCCTAGTAACGGCACTGTTCTCCGTGCCAACTTAAATTGCTCAAAACACAACACAGCAGGCGTACGCACTGCGATTTTCGTCGTTTACGAGGGCAGGGAAGACAGGGGAGTGTTGGACAAAAGTCTCCAATCAGCGCGTGTTTGAGGGTGTTTTCGTCCCACCTACCATTATTATTCTGGTGCCAGCCTACACCTTTCGGCACACGTGTGTGGTGCACCAGCCTGGGTGGTACAGGAGGGAACATAACTCAAGGAGTTTACTTTTTGTTTTCACGACCCCCCTGCGAAACCAGTGCCTCACCAAAGTATATGGTGTAGACGACGCACGACATCAGCACGACGGCCTTGGTGATGGGCGATGTCCACTTCCACCTGTTTCGTCGGCGTAGTCGTGGTCGTCCGCAGTCGGAAGGGCGTACACAAGCAAGCGGTTGTTGAGGTGCACGGAAGAGTGTTGTGAAGGTTGAGGTTTCCCGCGGCGCTAGGGCCGTCGAAGGTCACAGAGCAGGACGGCACTACTGCTGCAGTGCGAAGGGGGTGCTGGATGTAAACGTTAGGGTGGGGGGGGGTATGTCACCCGCTAAGGAGGCTGCAAGCTCTTCCCGCGCGGACCACAGCCAAAGACCGCATCTATCTGGGGCACTGCTGTACGTTGCACATGGCGACGACGAGCACTGCAGCAGAACCAGGAAAAAAACACCCAGCACCGGTCACCACACGATCAACATCAGCTTTTTCATGTACGCATTTGAACATTTTGGGCATCCACGTCTACGCATGTAGCTCAGCAATGTTTGTTCCGGAACGTCCGCAAGGAAACTTGTTGTTCCCACCAACGCTGAAAACGTATTGGTACGTTTTATAACGCGGTTAACTGTGGATAGGAAACAAGCAGGTAATGATACGCCGTGCAATTCGAATGGTGCATCGCTGCGTGTAAGATACGGCACGCGGCAGCAGGATGGTCCCTTCCCACAGAGTCACCCAATCCCCATATGTACTTGTATGAAGCAGAACAAGACTCTTTGTATCATGATCTACGGAGATGCGGGCGCCGATGGAATCATCAGTGAATGCGCCAGCAAGCTCTGCGCATGCCACTTGGAAAAGGAAGCAGGAACGCGCTAAGCGCGGATCAAGTGAGTCCACCACCACAAGGGGCAAAGCAACATGCTACTGCTGTTACATATTGTAGCGGAAATCATCTCTAGGGTCACTGGTGGCGAAAAGCTCGCCAAACACCAAAACATTTGATCAAGCACGAGATCCATGGTATCACCACGCGTACGGGCACACGCCGCGCCTTGCGAGCGCTGCATATGCCGCACCAAAATGGTAGCGTTTCCATTTGATCAGCGGCGTACTTGTACTGATCGATCGGCGGCGGACTCGGCGGGCGTCGCCGACAAATTGATTTTCCCGCCATTCCCCCGCTACGGTGCTGCCGTCAACACCGACAGCGTGATGTAAACTACGGTACAGCAGTAGTAGGCCTTCTTGTTGACCGAATATCATGCCTTTGGTTGCGCGCCCACGATGTCCACCACGCTGACATCCAAGCGTCCCAGCGAGCGTTAATCAACAAGCGTCACAAACACGGCAATAGAGGAGGTCCGAATTCTAAACCTAGGCATGGCGTGTTGGTGTGTTGGTTGTCTTGGGAACGAAAGCAGGCAGGTGTCTTCTGTTATTTTGGTTGAGAATTCCAAGAAAACTCGAAGACGGTGGACTGCATTCTTGAGTCCCTTGATATAACCAGCGACTCCATAACGCGGTACTCCTTTTGCGAACTGCAGCAGCCAACGATCGTAGCGTGCCGCTTCAACCTACACCTCTGAGCCAAAACTTTTGAATTTAATTGCGCGCAAAGCGAAACAATGTAGTCTATGCACCACAACACAGGTGAATTGTTTCCCCGCGACGACAACGACAACGAGAGCTCAAGACCGTGCCCCCTGCCCCGGAGCCACAACAAACAAAAAACGACAACCAACCTCCCAGACAACCTGTTCAATGTCAACGTCTCATGCATCGCACTGCTGCTGAGGGATTTGGATTTCGGCAACAGCTGCTCGCGGTATCCGCTGCCTCCAAACTGCAACCCACGACACCTCAACTCACTTGGGGGCGATCATGAGCGCGAGCCACGGGATGAACACCACGTTAGAGCAGAAGATAAACACCATATCATCCGTCGTCATCGTCATCTTCAAAGTGTAGGCGTCGTCAGAACCGAGTGCACAGCAGTAAACAACCGGAGAGGCACAGCCAGAAAGTTAGCAACCTAGCCGACCAGCCAGCGGGGGGAGAGCGGGTGCGAGAGGGGCATCATGGAACGTACGGGGTAGGTAGGTTACTCTATGGTTGTCTCTTCTGTGATACCCCCTCGCAATGTCTTTGGTGCTTGTTGTTGCCATCTGGAAAGGTCTCGCGTTGGAAAAGGTTTTCGCTATGCTTCGTCGGTTGACAGCGAAGGGTGTTGTAGAGGCGCTCGCGTCCACGCACCCTGGTTGGGCTTCGCGGCGCATTTTTTTTCCCGGCGGTGAGTCATGAACAATATCTACGCGAACAGCATGCGGTCCGTATTCATCCTTACTTGACCATTGAGCAAACAGACACCCATCTGCGAAGGTGGTCACTGCAGCTGTTGCTTGGCAGTGGGCGAGTGACTATTATAATAGCACCCATCGATTAGAATCCTATTGTATGTCACATCCGCGCCGACCATGACATCACTGCTGCTGTCAGCAGAACTCCGTGTTTGCAACGCGTCTGCTTTTCACGAAGCAGTACTTACTTGCATGCTCCGCAAATCACGCCTACATACATGTCTACGGCAGTAGCTCCTTTGTGCAGAGTGTAGTGGTGATGAGATAGACCTTAAGTACGTGCGTGTGCACGGCTGCTGCAGATGTACCAACGGGCGAAGGTATTCCTGCGTGGAGCTGCTGCCATTTGGTGGGTGCAGACTCAACGTGCGGCATTCTCGACAACGATTAGTCAGCAATAAACTTCGAAGTACTTGGCTGCGTCTGAGATGCTACAGCAGCAGATCGCTGGATCGCTTCTGCTGGTCCACCTCGAGAATAGAGCCAGTATTGTCTGCAGGGGCCCAACACACAATGGAACAATACAACCTTCTGCCGGAAAAAAGACAGAACTACAACTAAGAACGAGGAACCTCGAGCAAGAGAACAGTGATGCAGTGGTCGCTCGTTGCCCATGTGCTTTCATGCGTACATCCGCTCCTCCACATAGCGCTCACATGTGAACATTTCGTCGCAGCTTGCACTTGTACAGCAATCAGTTGAACCCAGCTTCACGCCATTTGGAATCCCCGCCCCCCCACCCTTTCCTTGTTAAAATCGAATTGCTTCAACTCGACAGCCATGAATGCCACTCAATGGCAGCGACAGCCGGAGCAGCAGCAGTGGATATCATCATCCACGAGGGGACTTAACAGCTCATCCGCAGCAGCAGCAGCAGCAGCAGCAGCAGCAGAAGCAGCACCTTCAGGGGAGAAAATAAAGCAGGACTGGGCCCCCGGCACGCCGCCAGCGGGCAGGGGCCAAACCATCGGGGAGGCCTTCGCTGCTATGCAGTACCACGCGAGGGGGACAAGAAAGGTACTGTAACATACAGCTTATTTTCTTCAGTTTTCCCCTGCGAAAACACAACTAAAACATTTTAGTCTCTTGGCCCGATAAGAGTTGTGCTCGGCCTCCTCAAAAATGTTATACAGTAGTTGTACACATTCTGATCGCTCAGAACATATACAACTGTACAACACCAAAAAATGTCTCATCGGCGACGATGGTTTTTTGCAATCTGAAGAAGTGGACGCCGCGTATCCCCCCTGGCTAGCCGATCACGGGCTTAGACGTTGAGGCTGCCGTCTCTGTTGAATTGTAGCTCTATCTTGGATTCGTTGCCCTCAGCGTCCTCCAGATCGATAGTGCACTTGCCCTGGTTGTCGAAATTCGCATTTGCCACCCTCCTGCCGCCCTTCTGTCCGCAAAGCGAAAGAGCGTAGAAGAAGAAGAACCGCGGGACCATCGCCGCGAAGGCAGCTCCAGGGCCGAAGTAGGCGTTGGCGTAGGTGGTACCTATGATCAGCAAAGCAGCACGCGCAAGGTGGAAGTATTGCTCGTAGGACAGCTTCCCATGCTTAGTCCAGTGGTAGATGATAAGGTCGTGGCGAAGATAGTGACGAAAGCTGCAGCCGCTACTCCCGGGTGTAGCACAACCGACTTGGCGGCGGACTCGCTGAAGCCGAATATGGTCAAGGAGCCGAGGAAGGTGCCGGTGCACATTACCGCTCCGGCAGTCCCGAGCACATCGTTGACGGGTGGGGCGGCGGCCTTCACAGTGTTCCAGACAGACTTCAGCTCCGCTCTTCGCGATTTTCGCGATGTTACTCTCCGCGCGATCCATGCGGCGTTTGAATTTGTTCAGCTCTCGCATCGTGGCAGGCGGCGGAGCGGCCTCGTCGAGTAGGGGTTCGATACTAGCATGCAGCGCCTGCATTTGTTGGGCTGCGAAATGCGCGACTTCATCTGCACCGGCTCCTTGCTCACCTGAGAAAGTACCTAGGCCCTTCTTCCATCCTTTTTTGGGCCGTTTCTAACTCTATTGCGAGTGCCTCTTTGGCCGTCGTCATGTTGCTGAAGACTGCTGTTGAGTTGGGTTGGAGAAAGTTGTGAACGATGTGTGGCGGTGCTGTCGTGAGGAAAAAATGCGGCGGGTTTGTTAGGGAGGTGATTTGAGGTGGGATATTTGT